CATCAGATACAATATGATAAAGGCTTTGTGGGAGACTCATGTGCTGGCATGGTACTGTTCAGCTTTTCCTAAAACATGCTTTTTTTTTTTAATTTTTATTTATTAGAGAGAGAGAGAGAGAGAGAGAGAGAGAGAGAGAGAGAGAGAGAGGGGTGTGTGTGTGTGTGTGGCCAGCTCAGCCCACCAGGGGGTGGGGCTGGCTGGCATGTGGTGCTGGGGGATCGAACCGCGGTCCCTGATGCCTTGCCAAGCTTGTTCCAAGTAGGTGCTTTAGACCACTGAGCCATCTCTCCAGCCCCTAAAACATGCTTTTAATAAGGCTGCAAACTATATTTAGCTAAGGATGAAAATAATAGATCCACATGAAGCCATTGAGATGGTTTCATATGCTACATCACTTTCACCCTTCTTCTCGTTTTCATGGAAGCTACAAAAGTAAAAGCGAGTGATTTTCAATTCATGTAGTTAACGTCATCAACCTCTGGCTCCGGTGGCTCAGACGGCTGGGTCCTTCCAGACCCTAGCTGATCCTTGGGTTCTGTGTGCAACTGAGGATGCGTAGGAGCCCGTGGCATAGCCATTTTGAGCCATAGTTGCATATTTGCAGTCTTCCTCCCCCTCCCTTGGTCCCTTCCCCTCCCCCCATCCTTTTTCTCCTTTTTTGTATGTGGTACAGGGTCTCACTATGCAGCTTGGGATCATAGAGATCCTCCTATTTTCAGCCTTCCCAGCACTGGGGTTAAGGGCGTACACCACCACACTCACTCAGTCGTTGGCTCAGCGAGCCCAGGAGTGGGGCCGATGCAGCATCAGTACCGGGGATTGAACCCTGGTCCCTACACTTGCAAGTCCAGTTCTTCTTAGGGACACACTTCATGCCTGATACCCAGCATCTGCTTCCTCCAGAACAACCTGTCCACCATCATCGAGTCCCTGAGTACTGCCAGGGCTCTTCGTGGCCCCTGATGGGTAGGTGCCTGTCATAGCCTCTCTCCACACCCCACTCACCACTATTCAGAAAAGGGAGGACTAACACTGAGAGAGTGAAGATGAACGCTCCTGACAATGTCCCCCTTGTGTTGTGTGGCAGGGGTGGCACAAAGATGATGCAGGTTTCTCTCACCACACCAGAATCTTGGCTCCTGGCTGCAGTCCCTCTGCAGCACAGGCTCAATATGGCTGTACCCAGAGGACACCAAGTGGGACAGGTGGCTGCTCCAGCCATCACCTGTGGCCATGGATACTCCAACTCCACTGGCCACTGCCACCCCAGGACCCACAATGACCCTCTTTCTTTGCCGGCCCGTGTACTGCAGACAGGAGGACGGCTCCCTAAAGCCACAGCGTCACCCCACCTCCTCCTCATTTCCTAAAAACAAACCAGCAAAATGTGGACTTGGGGGTCACCAGAGTCCTCCCTGATGTCTACTGCTCATCCTCTGCCTTCACCCCCCACTCTGTCCCTCACAGACTCAGTGCCCAGCCTGAGTGCTGGCCTGTCGTGTTTGGGAACAACTCACATGTCCCCAGATCTCTCTCCACTTGCTTACCCTATCCTCGCTGCAGGCTCAGCTCAAACCCTTCCTCTGTGAAGCCTTCTGTGAAGCTCACAACCTCCACTGCTGTCTTAGAGGCCACTGTGCTTCTACGTGGCTGCCTGGCCCCAGGGTGCATGGGTTTCCATCTTGTGTGTATAGATCAATGTCCTCAATTATGTGACATTCCAAGGTCAGGATCAGGACTGGAGTTCCAGGGAACCCCATCTTGCAGTGGTGAGCGAACCACAGTCTCTAGGCTTCAGGTGACACAATTCCAGACCCCAGGGGATGCCTGTGACTGCACGGACAGCTACCAAACTCCTCACTTAACAACCTACTTATTTAACAACTGTTTGGATTTATGGCCCATCTGTGTGTGTGTGTGTGTGTGTGTGTGTGTGTGTGTAGTTCTGTATATCTTTTTGATAGAAACCCCAATATATTTTTCTTGGTACAGCAAACTTGTTTGCACAGTATTGTAATTGTTGACAATTATACTGTACAGTACAGTATGCTAGTTTTATGCTGTGTTATGCTTTACAACGTAAGAGTTACACAAATAAAAGCAAAGTCATTAAGTTGGAATGTCCTTCGACCATTCCTTTGTTCTGAATACTGTAATGTACATAGCATCTACAACTCACTAATAACTAGCTCACTCAGTGACCCAGGTGCAGGACTGGAACTCGGTCATTAAGCAAGAATCTCTATACTGCTTTTCCTAAGCATATGCGGCTCTGACAAACTCTGCCTTTTCACTTGTGGCAGCATGTTGGGGCTTCTCTTCTGCCTATCTGAATTGCGATCATCATTATTGGACAATTTGGGGGCCATTCATTGATAAAATAAGGGGTATTGGGCAGAAGCCCTGGGCTACCACACCAGTTGATCAGATAACCCAGATGGGGACCAAGTGACAGCAGGTGAGTGGAATGGGTACAACAGAGAAAGGAATTACTGGTGTCCTGTCCTAGGCCGGACAGCATAGGGTTTCACTATGATGCCCCCTGCAGCTGCTACTTAAAAACCTATGGGCTGGTCATTTCTTGAAGGAGACCACAGTGCTTCTTGCTTTGTGATTTCTCTGCCATCAGCTTCAACCTCAGGATCGTGTCCTGCCATTTGGCCTCATCTCAGTTAAGATGCTCTGTTATCCCGGAACCCAGACACCAAATCAGGTTTAGAGCACTACACACTTCAGGACTCCGGGCAGTGCCAAACCAATGGCTTCTGTGCTTCTAGGGAGTTGAAGCTGCGTTTGGAGTCTGGGCTCAGGGAGATATATTCCATGGACAGGCCGGCCAAATAGCTCAGTGGATTGAAGCCTGTGTCAGGGTCTGCTGTGCCAGCCCCGACCCTGGGGCACACTGAGATGGAAATTGAAACTGGGTGTGGTGATGTGCACCTGTAATTCCAGCTCTTGAGAGGCTGTAAACAGGCAGATCAATACGAGTCCAGTCTAGTAGTGAGACTCTGAACACCCTTGTAGACCCTTCCCCAACACTACAACAATAACAACAACAACAAAAATTCCGTGGACAAAGCAGAGTTTGGCAAATGTTGCTCATAACCTATTTTTGTAAGTTCTGTAAAGTTTAACTGGCACATAGCCACGCCACTCACATACCTATGACCCGGGCTGCTTTCTTCCTAGGTGGACAGAGACAAGTAGTTGTGACTGACACTGGATAGCCTGAAACTTGACAGTAAAAGTGTGTTGGTCCGCTGGATGAGACCCCGCAGGATTAGATAATTATTTTTTTATGACTACACAGGTCAAGGGCAGTTATTAAAGAATGAATGTAATGCTGACACAGGCTTGAGCAGACACAGATGTGAACTGAAAACACCACCAAGTATGGTGCGAATATGAAAAGACTTCATGACAAGTTGTAAGTCAGGCTGGCTGGCTTGTAGCTATCTCCCACCTCAGCCCAAAGGCTCCAGACCCAGCTGGTTCTGCGGCTGACTCCTGTCCCACCTGTAAGACACGTCATGTTTCCGACCCTCTGAAAATACAGAAAGCTCCCCCAAACATATGAGACTAGTGCACCCTTGAATTCAAGAACTTGACAAGGACATAAAGAAAAAAACCTACAGGTCAATCTTGCTTATGAATTAGAGTCCAGCAATACATTGAATGGCACTTAATACCCATTCAAAATTAGTAACTTTTAAGGGCTGGCCAGATAGCTCAGCGGACTAAAGGGCTTGTTTAGGCAAGCTCAGGGACCGGGGTTCAATCCCTGGTGTGCTGAGACTGGGCACGGTGGCACACATCTATAATCCCAGCACTTGGGAGGCTGAAAACAGGAGGATCACTACAAGTCTGATCTATGTAGTGAGACCCTGTACTTAATACATTTTTTAAAAAGTGACTTGTTTTTTGAGACAAGGTATTACTGTGCAGTCTAGGCTGGCCTTGAACTCACTGTGTAGCCCAGGACAGACTCGAACCTGCCACCCTCTTTTCTCAGCTTTCTCTAGGGCTGGAATGACAGGCATGTACCTCCATGCCCAACTTAACATTAGTAATTCTTAACACAGTGAAAACACTGACTTGCCAAAACGTTTGGTGAGTCTAAATTATCCACTAGAAATTAAAAGAAACTATATTTAATCCAATGTATTATGTTAAAGACTGTACTTAAATATTTAAATAAATACATAAAATAAATGAATATTTAAATTTTGCATATTGGTGCCTCCCTCCCTCTTCCTTACTAGTGTGAACTGGAGGCCAGGATTAGAATCCAGCTCCTGCTGCAATGGCTGTGAAACCCAGCCAGGTCTCCACACCCATGCTCCTGTGGCCTTGGGTGGACCGGGACATTGGTGGCATCAAGGGTGGGGGTTGGGGAGCGGGATTGAAACAACGTCGAGGGAATTCCAGCCTTGTGGATGAGGAGAAGGCATGGGAAGGTGCTGTGTGGAGATAGAGAAGCTGTGTGTGCGTTTTCCTTTCTCATTCTGATTCAGAAAGTGGTGCACAACCTGAACTTGTGTGTCTGTGGGCAGGACCTGACCACACAGGCAATGGCAAGAGAGAGAACAATGGGCCGGGAAGAGAAGAAAAGAGCCCTTCCTTCCCCTTCCTCAGGCTTTTCAGCTGCACAAAAGGAGACATATTTTCCATATAATTGCTAAACATGTTTGCTTATTAAATTATTCTTTAATTAGTTAATGATTTTAGCCATGCTTTGCTCTTCGGATATTCATTTTGTGTAATAAAATAATTACAGATAATTAAACTATCTCAAGCCTTTTTCTTTCCCCTAGCAAACATTCTGGGTATCCAAAAATGACAACAAGTTGTAAATTAATCTGGAAAACAAAGCATGACAGATGAATGATTTGGTTGGAATTAATTAGGCACTAATTATATACTGGAACTAGATGAAGAATGAGACTCATTAGAAAAATAAAGCGCTCTTCAGCAAGACTCACTCCCCACACCCTTACCTTCTGTGGTGATGGAGTTGCTCCGGATCCAAGTCAGGGCCTTCACGCAGTCCTCCTCGTCGTTGAGCAGGAATAGGTTGCAGGGAACTTGTCCCGAGTACCGCATCTTGCTGCTGTCGGGCACCTCTCGGTTTGTGGGGTGCTGGCTGACATCGGCCCCTGTTGGGCACGGGACCTGCAGCAGGTCACAGAGAAAGGTCGGGTTCAGTGGTTTCAGGCCAAACTCTAATGCAATGTTTTAAAAAAAAAGATGAAGCATACGCATAGCAATGTTCAATGTAGGTGTGTCTTCCTCCCTCCTAGATTCAGTGAATCGGGACTTAACGGAGGAGGAGAAAGTGGACACTAGGGAGATTAACCACTTAACGGACCAGTGCCCGAGGGCCCTGCTCTGCTTCTCTGTGCTGTGTAGTACATTATCCCAAAGCTGAGTGGGACAGCACAGACATGTGCTGGGCCTGCTGATTCTGAAGGTCAATAATTCAGACAGCTGCACAGTTGGGGACAGTTTGTCTCTGTTCCTCAGGGTCTAGTAAGACAAAGGCTGAGAGTGAGTGGCTGGTCAGATGGTGGGCTTGTCTGTAGATCAATGACCTCAACTGGTCCTTTCTGTCCCCTGGAGGACATGTTGAGCATTTGAAACTAAGTTAGGGGCCCTTTTCTAACTAGCAGTTGACACTGGTAATGGCCACATGTGGCCTATCCCGGGGTGGAACAAGGCTTCTTGATCAACATGGCGGCTGGGCTCTGGGGACAACGGTCCCAAAGGAGAGCCAGTCTTGACCTCTTTGACCTTGTCCTGGAAGCTGGACAGGACCATGATTACCATGCTCCATCACAGAGGTGGTCACAGGGCTCTGTCTGGAACTGGAACGTCAAATCACCACGCGGAAGCACCCATGGATCAGAGTTGCTGTGGCTACATTTGATGAAAACAAACTGGCCAGAGAAGCAATCATCTTGGGCTGAAATTCAAGTGTGCAGAGGGGGTAGGCAGAAAAATACAAGTGGATAGAGCACTCTTTACTTGTGGAAATCATGGAAATATTCTTTCTCTCTCTTCCAACAGAGTTCTTCCAAGTGTGACTCCTCTCACCTCTCTTTTACCTCAGACATGACTGGGAACAGAAATTGCCTTTTCCTCAAAGGAAAGCAGCAGTGGCATCACAAGGCAGGATGATGGCTGGCACTTGTCCCCCATCTTGAGGACACCATAACAATCTGGAGGGCCTGTGCCCTGGCCAATGAATCCAGGGAACAGCTGGGGCCCAGGGTGGCTGAGAAGTGTCAGATCCTTGGGTTTTATATAGCCATGTGACTTTCTATTGTGTTGGCTCAAATGAAAATCAAAGGCCAACCTAAAAACCCAGTGACATAGCATGATGGCCAGTGGGCCACTGCAGTGCCTGTCAATTTAGCCACCAAGCAGGGGAATAGAACAGGAAGATGATGAGTCAGACACAGTGAGACAGGAAGCCACTCAAGTCCTGGGTGGAGGAGGCCCAAGGATGCAAGGCTGGCAGGGCTCCAACACCATGAAGACAAATGTCCCCTTGCACAGTGAACTCAGCTTCAGCTCACTCAGTTCCCCCCACCTGCTCAGCATAGACAAAGATGCCACCAGCCATGGCGTGATAGTAGGGTTGCATCAGGAAAAACAGTAGGCCCCAAAAAAACCACTCAGTGTCATCAGGGACCTTCATGGTCCCACTGGAAGTAGCAAGGACAGCTTAAACCTGCCTCCAACCAGGGCAACCATCCCCTTTTTGAGCAGACTTTCAGCCTGGGAGGAGGTTGTTTCTCAAAGTAAATAAACTTTGGAGGTTGCCTCCTGTGCCAGTGATGTACAAATCTAATTTGCTTTCTTCATGGAAATCCTTCAAGTGTGTAAGTACAGGCTGGCCAGCCCATCCTTCCAAATCTTCACCTAAAACTTGTGGGTGTTCCTCAGCTTGTGCTTTTCTGCCCTACAAAACCAGAGTAGTGTTGTCTTCCTTTTTTTCTTTGATTTTTGTTCAGAACCAATCAACGAGGTACAAGAGTTTTCTTCTAGTATGTCTTCGGTTATTTTTGCAAGATGGGCCAAATTCAAAGGAGAAGACACAGGCTCCACCTCTCCATGAAGAAGTATCAGAGAATTCACATCCAAGCTTCTGTGACCTCTGCTTGCACACATCATATCTGGCAGGTAATGGGCCCATGACGTCTACACACCCATCATGAATTCTGCCCTTTGCTTTTCTTTCTCCAGTTTCATTTTGCTGGGTATTAATGCAGCTGCTTTTTTGAAGAGAGGTGTGAATTAGTCTGAGATAGCCTTTTGCTGTGTACTTTATCTTTCTATTCTTACATTTTTGTTGCCATTTTGATTGGGTACTTCTCTTGCACTTTGACTTTAGAGTAAAAACAGCTTTGCTGTGGCAGAGTAGTTTGAAACCACGGCATTCACTGTTGTGACTTATGTTTTTCTTCTTTATCCTTGTCTTAAGCAGAGTATTTCAAAGGTTATATTTCAGCATTGGCTCATTTATATTTGGCTCATTTATATTTGAAAAAAGCTTTGAGAGAAGAACAGGGAATTCACCATCGGAACACCAAAATAAAAGGGTAGAAAACAATGGCTAAAAATGCAAGTATAAACCAGAATGCCTGTCTTCTTATACCACTATTCTACTGGAAAGTTCCAAATTGTTTTCTGTCTCTGTTATGTAGACTTCATGTTGAAGTAAAAGAAAAACAAAACCACACACACACACACACACACACACACACACACAATTATCTGAGGACTTGCTCATAAAAGAAGGCTTTCTTCTGTCTTCCCATATGAGACTTTTATAAGGATGTATAATTATTGAATCACCATTTTCTCCAAAATTAAATGTAGTTGGTTTCATTTTCTTTTGCCATTTAATTCTAGAGAGGAACTTTTTATGCCTGCCTTATTTTTGTTATTTTGGGGAGTGAGCTTTGGGTAATGTTATTTCTTTTTGTAGTTGTTCATTTTTGCCTCATCCTTCTCATAAAATGATCAGAAGTGTCTCTCTGACCTTTGCCAGAATGCAACTAGTTAAGAAAACAATTTTTTTTCCAGTTTTGCTTGTAACCAGTCAAATGTGTGAAGAGTTTTCTTCTAGTGTGTCTTAAGTTATGGCTGCAAACCTGAAAACTCAAGAGGAGACATAGCCTCCACTTTTCAGATGGGAGAAGTTTCAAACAGTACACACCCAAGTTTCTAAGAGCCTTCTTTACTTCTGCTGCTACTTCTCCTTCCCAGTCCTCATGTGAGACCTCCTTCTATGAGGCGCTCTCGAGTGCCAGGCAGTACCTCTCCTGTTCCCAGAGGTGCCCTGGTGTGCCCAGCTCTTCTTCCCAGCCTGTTTGCAGCAGGCTCCACCCTTCCATTTACCACACCTTCAATTCCCTCGTTTCAGTATCAGGAACCTCTGGGAGACCACAGTGGATGGCTGACCCTCATCAAGCTCATCATAAATTAGTCTTCAACTCTTAGGCTTGGCAGGAGGTAGCTACCCCACTTGCTGGCTTCCACAGGCCATCACTCTGTGTGCACTATCTTCTCCTGTCAATGGCAAACTCATTTGACTTTCAGTTGACCAATTTTTGTTCTTGTATGAGATTACCCAGGTCTAGGCATGGATCAATCATTTCTCCAGAATCATCCATCAGTCTTGTAGCTTATGACCTCATTTGGAAGCTATTGTGAGTGATTTGCCAAGCTGGCATGGGCTCAACAATAAGGAGGGAAGGAAGGAGGGAAGGAAGAAAAGAAGAAAATGGGAAAGATTTGTATGGCAGTCAGAAGGTTCTGAAAACAAGCTAGCTAAACTGTCTTCCCAAAGGAAGGGGTCAGAGAATGTCTGACATTGGCAGGTGAAGGACAACACATCTACAAGCGAGTTGTGCTGGGTTACCACTGCCACACAGAAGAATGCCTTCAAATTGATCCCTCTCAGGAAAGAGGGCTGGGAACAAGCGCAGCCCTCCTCACGTTGAGCCCCGCAACACAATTTCAAGTTTTACCTTCTGCACAAATTTTCTGATTAAAAAATTAAGTGACGGATATTTAGATTTCAAAAAAAAAATATTGGGATATTTCAGAGTAAAGTACGCTGGTCAAAAGATCTGATGAGAGATAAGGATTAGAATTACACTCTATAACAGATTGTCTCCTTGCTTCGGGTTTTAGCTTTGTTTTCTTTGTTTCACAAAACTAGGACAAAACCATGAGAAAGTTAAGAGAAAAAGGAAGCAGACGGTCCATGGTGAATCCGGCTGCTTTTCTGTATCACTGCATGTACCTTCGATTTCTCAGTCCTGGAAAAATTAAGTTGGAGCTCCCTTTACCATTTCTGCGCTCTGGTTTTCCTGTTGTACAAAGGGCAAGAGCTTAATGTGCCATATACGAGAGCTGCAGGGCAGCTGGACACATACGGGCAGATGCTGGAGTCTCCGGACAGCTGGCTGGGTCCTCTGCTTGGTTTCCAAAGTACGCAGCCTGGGCAGCAGCTGGAAGCGGCAGGCGGGCTGCAGAGACGGGCTGAGGGGCACATGGTGCTTTCTTCTGCTTCAGTGTTTCCAAAAGGAAATGCAACACTTAGGTATCAAAATGAGGTATCTCCTGATTGATTTTTATCCTTTAACCTGGAAGGAAAGATCCTTTTCTGCCCTTCAGAAATGAGGCTTTAAAACAAAGCGAAGCGATGATGTGAGGCTCATCCAAGCCACTCATGTGCAGCCGGTCTGCTGGCAGCCTCAGCCACAGCCTCGCCACCGGAGAGCTTGTTAGAAACCAGTGCCCCAGGCTCCCACACCCCGCTCCCTGGCTGGGCTCTGCATTTTAACAGGGTGCTCGGGGGCTTTCAGTGTGCGGCACAGTTGGCAGGGTCCTGCTCTTGGGCCCGGATGAGGGATTCACAGGGGAGAGAGTCCAAGCTGGCGATTCTTGGCCTTAGGTCAGACTACAGCTGGGAAGCTTAAAAGCACACAGATGTCCAGTGCCCTTATACTTTAAATAGTCTCTGGGGGCAGGCCCTGGGCCTAGGTGTGTTCCAGAGCACCCCAAATGACATCAGTGTGCGGCCACAGCAGGGGACACTGCTTAAGTGATATTCAGTGACAATGCTGTCTGGCCCCAGGGGGACACAGTGTTCTGGGGTTGGAAATGTAAAGGAAACATATTCCTCCTGCCAGGAGTCCCCGACCACACAGAGGTGGCCCCACCAAGACACGTCCTCAAGTTATACAGACAATCCTGTCTTCCTGGGCAGTTATTTTTCCGGACCCCATGAGATGCTCTATAGAGTGGGGATCTTCAAATCCGTTACCGACATCAGCGACAGCTTAGCCCGAGACATTGATCACACATGGAAAGAAAGCTTTGTCACCAGGACATCAGTGGATCTGACTTCTTAGTTCCATAACTGAGTGACAAAATAAAATGAGGCTTGACAGAAGGTGTGCATGCTTGAAATAGTTTTGGGTGAAAACCCCGCCACAGCTGATCTTCCCAAATGTAGGCCTGGCTGTCTGGATGAGCCGTAAGTGTTAGACTTCGGGACAACAGCTTCAAGAATGACATTTCTGTGATTTTTTTTTTTTTTTTTTTAATTTGGGAACAGAATGTTTTTCTTGGAATGGATTTCTGGGAGGGTTTGAGGACACAAATCTGGCCATGGATGTGGGCATCGAAGAGCAATTTTATGAATATAGAGCGGCAGCTGTCCTGGCAGTGAGGACGCTCTTCCCAAGCACACATGCCCAGTGAGCACACTGGCCCTGGACATCTCCACGCACCCTGGCACACCCCCTGGGTGCAGCCTTACCTGGTACTGCTGCCCGGTGCACAGGATAAGGTGGTCATACGGGACGGCTTTGTCCTTGGACACTATAACATGCTTGGCTGCCCGGTCTATGCCCGTCATTCTGCCCACCACCACATTAACCCAGGAGCACAGTGACATCAATGCATAATCTTTATCATTAAAACAGTGGCTGCAAAGAGAGAAGCTCTGTAAGTGACATTTGAGCAGCTGACAGCGGGCATTAATTAGACATCTGGTGCGCCGGTCCCAGTCCCCTGGTGGGCTGGGGCTGTGCGCTTGCTGTGAGTTTACAGGACTGATACCGGGAGGGTTTTCGTTAGGAAACACTTAAGTCACAAATTGACATCTTCCCATTAAAGCTAAATTGTTCCACCTGGTTTAGGTCACTGCGCAAAGTGTGTGTGTGTGTGTGTGTGTGTGTGTGTGTGTGTGTGTAACCACTCACACTTCCACAGTGGTTGTAAATCCACTCTAGCTCTTGAATTGTCCTGTTGATGACAGGCTCAGAGGGAATTAGGAAGAGGAAAGTGACATCACTGAGAACTCCTACAGGCCCTGGGGTTGGGTAGGTGAGGTAGGGTCACAGCCCTAAAATGTGGAGGACCTTTCCTACTTACTAGCACCGCCCAAGAAGTGTTATGTTCTTAGAATTAAAGTATGGTTTTGGACCAGGACAACAGAACACATGTTATTTAGAGATGATGTCAGTTAGGGGACTGTGTCCACAGAAAGCGCCATCCCAGGGCATGAGTGGCTTATGGGGACCTCACGTTAGTGCTGTGACTTCAGGACACTGGTGGCCATGTAGACTCCATGGACTCTGAGCACTGGCCTTAATGTGACAGGGGTGGGCTTCTCATGATTTGAGGTGTTTGTGGGATTTTCTGAAAAGTTCGACCATGTGCTCATGACCTTCTAAGGATCCTGACTGCAGACCAAGAGCCTAACATGGGGATATACTCTGGGCTTCATTTACCTCTGGCTGCATGATCATCCTCCAGATTTGTGTCCTGACCCTGGGGCCCCAAGTCCCCTGGGTCCTTCACCTCTTCATGCAAAACTGGAGAAGGCAGGAGATGCTGCTTTATCAAGTGAGATGCATATGGGAAGGGTATGATTCTAAATAATATTAATGATACATAATCCTGTTTACTCTTTCTGCAGGCAAACAAGATTCTAAAGTGGTAATGGCAGGACATTTTCTCTTTTTGATCACACAGGAGTCTGGTCTCGCCACACAAAGAGAATTCTAGTAATGGATGCACATTAGACCCTGTTACAGGGCTGTGAAAGAGACAGGAGCTCTGGGCTTTGTATCTTTCTTGAAACAACACTTAAAAACAAGAAAATTTCTGCTTAATATAAAAAAAAAAGAAAATCAGGGGCTAGCCTGCCAAGGGGATATAATGGACAGGAAGATGAAATTCTCTTTTAAAAAGCCATTTTGATAGCTCTACGGGCACACAGGAAAACTTCACTGACTCTGTACATTCACAAGAGACACACACAGAGTCCATATTTGCTATATGGTCCCTATTGCAAGCCATCCAACATGAGCAAAAATTAAATATAGTTCATGCACTAGGATCAGTCTTATGAGGATTTGCCCAAAGACAAAAGCTCTCCAAGCTCTCTGGGGAAATTTGTAGAAGGCCAAGACAACATTATTTTTAATGACAGCAGGACAGTGGGGTTAATAATGTCAGTGTGCATGTTTCAGAGTTAAAATTTACAGTCCAGCCCAAGGGGAGCCGGGGCTTGGCGACTGATTTTTAAGGACTTTTATCCAGATGCCACAGGAAGTGTCAGCATGGGCTGATGTACACTGAATGACACTTCTCAGTTTAAAATGTCATTGTGCAAGCCACAGCTAACCACCCCGCATGGGATTACTCATCTGGACCTTCTCTAATTTCCCCTCATCATGTGTGTGAAACTATCTATTACAGGATGGAAGTGATACTTTTCCAAAATTACTTCCTAAGCGAAGTTAGCAAGCATTCAGAGCCTAATGTCAGGGACTGCTTCACAGCTTGATGACAAGAGCTATATCTCCACCAGGGTTCTCTGGAGAAGGAGTAACCTAAGGTCTTTCTTTATATCAGTGTGACTTCCTTTTTCTCAAGCAAGGTTGATCTTGACTCAGAACTAATGCAAAAAACTAAAAAACACTAGGGCCCCAAAATTTAAAGACCCAATCCAGAAATGGGCATCCGAGATGAACACACACTTCTCAGAGGAAGAAATTAAAGAAGTGAATAAATATATGAAAAAATGTTCCACATCACTAGCCATTCGTGAAATGCAAATTAAAACCACAGTGAGATATCATCTCACCCCAGAAATAATGGCTATCAAGGCTGTGGGGAAAAAGGAACCCTTCTCCACTGCTGGTGGGAGTGTAGACTGGTGCAACCGCTACGGAAATCAGTATGGAGACTCCTTAGAAAAGTTGGTCTGGAAATCCCCTTTAAACCAGCTATTCCTCTACTGGGAATTTTTCCAGATGATCTGAAAACATCATATCATAGGGATATATGTGTGCTTATGTTTATAGCAGCACAATTTGTGATAGCCAAATCTTGGAAACAACCAAGATGCCCATCACCCGAGGAATGGTTGAAAAAGATGTGGTATTTTTACACAATGGAGTATTATTCAGCTATTAAGAATGATAAACTGCAAGCCTTTATATTGAAGTGGATGCCACTTGAACATATAGTCATAAGTGAAATAAACCAGACACACATGTGTAAATATCGTATAGTCTCCCTAGTATAAGAACTCCAAAGAAGAAATACAAATAGAAAGATATAATACAAGTAAAAGGAAAGCAGGATCTCAAGGACTAACTAATCAAGAGAGGGAAAGGAGAAGAGCTAGGAAACATGACAATGTCAAGCCATACAGTTATATGTAAAAGATGAGCAAGGCAATGATCCTGAGAATCTTCAGAAGATTTTTTAATCTAGCAGTTAATTGGAAAGATTCTCACCCTGACTAACTATATATACTGATACCTGTGAACTAAGCAACTGCACTGCAGATGGTAATTTATAATAGTAGTTTCATGCTTGGAGTGCCTGTCATTGTGGTATTCTGAATATGGCAGCTTGTCATGATATGCCAGTAACTGCTAAGATGTCTCTCGGGTAGGTGGATGTTCAAGAAGAAGGGGGTGGTGAATGAAAGCAAGACACAGGAAAAGGAATATTGTGAGAACTAATGCAAAGGGGGCCGAGGCTATAGCTCAGGGGCAGAGTGCTAGTTTGGAAGGAGACCCGGGGTTCCATGCCCAGAACTGTAGGGGAACTATGTGAAAAGTTGTCCTCTGCTACACACTGGTGCTATTAGAGAAGTACAGATTGAAACACAGAGATCCCACCTTACCCTGGAAAGAATGTCCCTCAGCAAGAAATCCAGTCATCACAAATGCTGGTGAGGCTGTAAGGAAAAAGGAACGCTTCTATACTGCTGGTGGGACTGTAAGCTAGTACAACCACTATGGAAGTCAGTGTAGAGATTCCTTGAAAAGCTACAAATAAACATTCCACTTGACTCAACTATTCCACTTTCAGGTATCTGCCTCAAAGAGCTAAAGACATCATATCAGGCTGGCCAAATAGCTCAGTGGATTAAAGTGCCTGAAGGCAGGTGCAGGGGCCAGGGGTTCAGTGGCCAGAGCTGCTCTGCAGGCCCCGCCCCCAGGGTGCAATTGAGACTGGGCGTGGTGGCACAGGCCTGTAATCCCAGCTCTTGGGAGGCTGCAAACAGGTGGATCACTATGAGTCCAATCTAGTAGTGAGACACTGAACATCCTGTAGGCCCTTCCCTAAAATACAAAAATAAATAAATAAAAATTTTAAAAAATACATCATATCACCGTGATCCATGCACATCGATATTTACAGCAGCACAATCTATAATAACTAAATCTTGGAGGCAGCCTATATGTCCATTAACAGATGAATAATTTTACACACAATGGGCACTCAGACACTTTGCCATTAAAAATGGAAAAACTTGAGTCATCAGTAGGAAGATGGATGCACCTTGAGACAGTAATGAATGAAATAAGTCAGACACATAAGCTTAAATAACTGCATGGTAAGGGCTGGGGATGTAGCTCAGTGGCATAGGGCCTGCTTGGCGAGTGCAAGGCCCTGAGTTCAACTCCCAGCATGGAAAAAAAAATAATCACATGGTTTCTCTTATATGAGAAACCCAAATTAGAAATGAAGAGCAAAATAAAAATATTTAACAGGAAGGAGGGAGAGAGCGAAGAGGGAGGGAGGGAGGGAGGGAGAGAGAGAGAGAGAGAGAGAGAGAGAGAGAGA